TTTACAAAATATGATTGAAGCAAAAATTCAATTTTAGCAACCAAATTTTGAACATTCAAACAACACTTTAGTCAATGTTAACAATTAAATAACAGCAAAAGAGCAGTTTAAGTATATCTTTTCCGGTAACAGCAAATAAATTTCCGTAAACCGCTGCATTTGCTTTGGCCACAGCTGTTGCCGATTGCTATAAAATTGCTAAAATTTTGACCACAACTACAATTCGAAAGTTTTTATTAATGTTCTGATTAATTTTATTTTCACTTTTATTTTATAATTTTTTTTTTCGTTAAACACAGAAAACAGAAAAAGTGAAGCGATCTTCAGATAAAGTACAGTTTAAAGCGGTATGAAGCAAGCAGCATAGATTGAAAACATGAATTTCAAATGCAAATTCATGTAGATGTAAAGTGCGGGAATAAAAAATAAAAATTTTATAAAATTATTTCTCTGCTAGCCATGTTTAAGCATAAGCCTTTTGAAAATTTACAGCCTGTAAGTGTGTGTCTGTATGTGCATAGAGAAAAAAGAAAAACAAAATTATCTAATTTTTAAGGCATTTCCGCTATTCGTAACAACTTTAACTGATACTATACAGCGAATACTTAGAGGTAAAAAAAAAATGACATTTTTTAGAAAGCCAAACAACTATAATTAATCTGTCTTAGACAAAGAAAATAGGTTGTTTTTTCTTCGAATTTAAGCACGTCTATACTATTCGCTTTACAAAACTGTTTTAATCAATAAGGAATGATTCAAAGTCAAGTTTTTGCTGAAAAAACTCTCTATAGTAGTACCATTAAACAAAAAATATTTACAAAATTTACTAGTTTGGAAAGCATTATAACAGGTTGATTAGAAAGTATTTTAAAGTCTTCAAGAAAAAACAAATTTTTTCTTGTCTTCTTATACTTGGCTTATTGAAATTTACACAGTTATTTGTATTAAAAATGGCATCATTTTATACGACTGACCAACTTAATGTTGGCAGTGGTGATATTGAAGAATTTATACGATATCGACACAGTTCAGCACTAACATAGGTTTTTTTTAAAACACTTCCTTTACTGATGACCGTAAACTACTTCCTTGTTTGTATTCTAAAATGCTGCAAACAGTTGATGACAATTTATACTTCTTTATGTAAAGAATGGCAATGCAACTGTTCATAGAAAAAAAATTGAACTTGTAAAAGCAGTAAATTTTGATATTTAGTAGTGTAACTTTTAAGGCTTTTTTAGCGACTTTGTCGACAATCTTAATTCTTTTCTTGTGTCTCTAGATCAAATTTGATTAGTGCTTTTTCTTGACAATGCATAAGTGAAAACTGTATAGAAATCTTGCGTTTTTGTTTTTGTTGATTTCTTATTTTACCAGGCACTGCGTATTGATTCATTTAATTGAGTGAAATATCAATGATATTACAAAGGTTGATTTAAGCAGCTTATTGTTCGACTGTATCAGTAAGATAAATTTGAGCAGTCAAGCTATTGCATTAATCACAGTTTTAAAGCTGCACTCATTGAAAACGCCTAAGAAGATATTGAAAATTTTGATGTGCCTTATGTATTCTCAAGTTGCAAGGGTAATTTTTATATATGATGGAAAAAAATTAGCAAAACACAATTGGCAAGTCACTTACCGACTGATTTTAAACCATTGACTGATAATATAAACTTTGAAGTTGCCATTTCAAAACGGTGGCTTTTTTTGCACGTAATACTGAAAAAGTTCCACTTTTACAGATCACTTCAGTCAGTTATTGTTGCTGCTAGTAAAACTCTCAATTTCGCATAACCTTTAAAGCCAACTGTAAACTATTCTCAGTAAATTTTGCCAAAAAATTAAAGTACAAATGTGAACAATCAGCGGTAAATGTTTAATTAATACAGCAGTGCTGTTAGGCATATCTGTCAATTTTTGCTTTATGCTAACCATTTTATCACTATTACGAATTAGTTGGAAGAAAAAAGAACCGGGGAAATTGACTATCAATTCATATGTCAACAATTTTTTAAAAGATGACAACAAAAGAAAATGGTTTAGCTTAACCGAAGTAATACAAATAAAAAAACGTTTAAACCTAAATTAGCCAACAGATTTTGAACTACAATTTTGGCATTAAGATAGCGATAAATATTTGGTTGTTGTGTTCTTTTTTTTGCTATTATTTAATCAAATTACAGATATAATTGTTAATATCTGTTAAAATCAGTAACAAAAAAAAAGTTATGATATTTTTATCTGCTATCCAAATTATATTTCTTATGGTTTTTTTCTCTTTATTGCTTTTATGTTTTTTGATCTGATATTTATGCAAAAGAGGAGGGGAAAGAAACGGTTAAAAATAAATTTTCTTTTTGTTTTTATGTAATATATAGTCGTTTCCTTTTTTGCCTTCACAAAGTAAAAAGAAAAAAAAAAAA